ACAACAAGCTGCAAACGCTGAATCAACCAACTGCGTTTACATTTATCAATTTATGGAGTGGCAATGACACAGTGGCACCATTCTGATAATTACATATACCATATAGATTTGACTTTCATGGTCCATTTCTGTATACTGGTTAAATCCAATTAACTGAATTCTAAAAATCCAAACAAAATCTACTTTTTAATATCTCATAGTGCTTTTGGTTGATTAAATTCAGTACAATTAATGTAGATCCCAAGGTATATATAGCTAAAAAAAGTTTAACGTCCTAAGGAGGATACTATCGAGCTTAGTGCTTTATTAAGAAATACTCAAACTAAATTTATGTTGAGTCAGTGTGTCCGCAAGAATCCATAGAATTTATTCCATGAAATCGGTTAAAATATTTTGTAATTAATAGTTATACGTTATACGACGCTTAAGGGTGAAGAAGCTTTCAGAAAGGTGGACTTACATTTTCTCATGTCCCGTAAAAGAATAGAAACTATCGAACAAAAGATCAACAGTATGATCCATTTATAATCATTACAGCTCGGACCCAAGTCATTTTGGTACTGACTTTGACTTCAAAGTCAATTCCAAGTCATCCCAAAGTCAAAAAGAAATTCGCGAATCAAAAATTTCCTTTTTAGGATAATAAATTAATGATTTTTACATAATCTATTTTCTAAATTTTATTTTGTCTCAAAAAAGCCAAATTCCAACACTACTTTCTGCAATCTAAGAAACGTACGCGTTCACTGAGAAATGGGAACTACAAGATTACAAATTTTAGGCAAAAACTTTTCAATTATCAGTAAATTTTTACTAAAAACCTTCGCGAAAAGTGACTTGGAAAAAGCCCAAAGTCAAATAATGTTGACTTTGACTTTCAAGTCAATTCATAGAAATTTTCGCGAAAATTGACTTGGGTCCGAGCTGTAATAATCATATAGGTGCCCAGCTAGATTTTGGATTCCAGACCCATCTGAAAGACGGTACCATTGTTTGTTGTTACAACGGTGAATGTTTACATCGCAGTAGAAGTTTATTAGAACATTCGATCTGAACCCTAAAGATTCAAATACAACTATTTTACATGACATCTCCTGAGAATATGTATCATCAATTGAGGATCTCGATACCTGAGACACTAAGACATCATACCAAATTATCAGGGCCTAATTGAAGCATAGAAAGAAGATCTTTAGAGTAGTAGTCATAAAGGAACTCAAGAATGTCCGCTCACATTAGGAGAAAGCTGCATAAACAACTAGAGCTCTACATGATTTTATCAATATCCGCTTTAACAAGGCAAAGTTGAAGAACTGTATATCACCAAATTATTAATAGACACTGAGCCACTGATCCAGTGACCAGCCATAATATATTGATCGATTTTATACATCATGTACTCGTATAAATCTACCAAATATATTCGAATTTTGTTTCAAGTTGTTTAATACTTGTTGATGTATAGTTTTTCCGAACGGGCGGATTTGTGCTGGCGCTAAAAAAAGAAACTTTTTGACATTTAACGGCTTCTCCGCTAAAAATTTTAAACGGTATAAACTTTAAAGCGAATACTCCTTTTAAATCCATATCAAACTTCAACCCACGGTTACAACTTACCGTCATTAATCTATGGCTTAACATACTAAACTCTTGAATACATTCATGCTTTGGTGCATAGGCATAAAAGAGCAGGATGAAGAAGAACAATCGAATGACTGATGCATGTAATACCTTTATATCCCTTGAGCTGGTTGAGTGGAAAATAAGGGAAGTATACTTTTTCGTTTCCGATATTGAAACGTTTCTTAGTATATTATACAACGATCAAGTATAAAGCTTTAAATCGGTCTTTAGATCCATTGAAAACTTGTTTACGATCAACTTAAATCCTATGATGTTAATCTTCTTAAAAAATCTGCTAAATTACTTAAAAATTTTTACCCCTTTAACGTTAAATTATAAGGTAGCCAAATGCGATGATGATGACCACTAAATATGCCAAATTAAGCTAAATGGTAAACGCTGGTACCAAATATTAAACACTAGTGACTAAAGATCTTAAATATTGGTGATAAAGTAATAATCAATGGAAACAATTGATCGTATTAGATGGTTCTTCTTGGGATCGTGGTTCGTATATGTCAAAACATATTTAGGACTATATGATTAATAACAGGGAGGTCACTTAATAATAAGCGAAACTTTAAACGATATATTTAATAATTTTTAGCTTTAGTATTTTGTGACACTAAGGTAATTCATGTTAATTCAACTCATTATTGTTCAACGATGAAAATATAAATTTGAATGTTCAAAGCCATACAGAGTGATCTAGGTATACTTCAACAAACAATTAATTGATTCATGAATACTTAAATCTATCAATTTGATCAAATGTAAATATACGAACTTATAGTTTATATCTAAGAAATCTCTTGAAGGAGTTTAGGATTTATTAACCGAGATGTACATCAACAGACCATATGGATACTTGTGGAAGCATTAGTACTTTCTTAATCTCCATCAAAGTAAATCAAGGTTGTTTAAAGTAAGGATAAGTAAGTGAGATAAGGCTTAGTACGTGAATACGTTAAGGTCTGGGCTCTAGCCTCTTTTGTAATGAGTAATATAATTATAACTCTTTATACATAGACTTTGAAAAATAATAAATTCTTTCAACACCCTAATCCAAAGTATCAATTTGATCAAATAATTTTAAACTTCTAGATTATTGAATTTCATATGTAGAGTATATAACGTCATTAACCAATATATCAAACAAGTATTATCATCTATTAAAAAAAATTACCCACATATTATAAAATAAAATTCAAAAACACAACACCTTCATATATCATTAACATTATTAATATAGGTTTTGAAAAAAAAAAAAACATGAAACATTTCACCTATATTATAAAAAAACATCTTTCAATCATAATTCTTCATAATCATTTAAAAAATCCAGCATCAAACTAAGAAAACAAAACAAAATGAAAACCAAACAAAATTTATATCACCATTCAACCTGTAAAATTTTCAATCAATTACATTTTCCTCAATTTCATCACCTATTGGAATGTTAAACATAAATACCAATAGTTAACAGAACTTACCAAAATGCATAGTCAAAATTTAACAACTGGATTCAATCAAAAATTTAAGGCTTTCTAGGCCGCCTATTACCATAATGGTGCCTGAACATCTGAACATTTTAACATTTTCAAAACTGTACATTCCAAAGATTGGAGTACTAATATACTTGTACCTTTTATACTTATCAACAGTATAGTTCCTGCATACTCTAACAAACTTTCATTCTAGAACAGTTCAAGGGTATTTAGTGTTCAGAGTAAGGCATCCTTTGATTTTTTTGTGTTGTTTAATCTCAACATTCTTCATTCTTCATTCCCCGGAAATATACCTAGGAAATTTCCCACAAACACAAAAAAGTATATATTTAAAACACTTTTTCATAATTAATCTTTGTATGATCAACTTTAGCATTTAATAAAGTTCTTGAAGGTTTTCTTTCTTCTTTTGGTCTTTCAATAATTGGTGATTTTTGTGAAGAATTTACTAAATTTTCAAAATATTGTTTTTTTGAATAAATTTTTGAATCTTGAGAAACTGAACGATTTTTTGATTGTTGATTTTTTTGTTCAATATGATTAAGAAATTTAGTTGCAGTTGTTCCATTTGGGTTTGAATTTGAATTTGATGATGAGTCAGTAGATCTTGATATTGTTGTTTTTGAAGTTTGACTTGTTGGATTTATACTTCTTAAAGAACTATAAAATTTTTGAAGTAAAGATTTATATTCTTCTTCAGTTGTTGATTGTTTTTGTTGAAATTTATAAGAATTAACATAAACTGATAAAACATTTGAAAGATTTTGTTTTTTGAATTCTTTAATTTTCGATTGAATTAATTCATTTGTATTTGATTTTAAGATGTTTTTTTCTTTTAATTCATTAAAACTTGGTCTTTTCTGTAAATTTTTCTTTAAATTATCTTTAACAATAGATTTAGTTAACATTGAAACAAGATATAATTGATTTGGATTAAACATTGCAGTGGATTTAACAGGCATGATATGATGTGAATATAATTCATTTATACTTGGTCTATTTTGTATAGAAATTCCAATTCTATTCTTTGTTTGATAAAATCTTGAACTATAGATGAATCTATCATTAGCCACTCTTTCCAAATAAAGACAAGTTTTAGATAAATTGATTAAATCTGGGAAATCCAGAAATATAATGATTTTATATAAAATCTCTAAAGGTAAATCCAACAGGGGGAAAGGTGCTGTGAAGTTGAGATTTTGATCCTCGCCAAAGTTCGTTGTGAGATAGTTCATGAGGATTCTAACCAGTGTGCTGTTCTTTGTATATGCCTATATTGATCAACCGATTTACAATTAAAAAATCTGAGATTCTCTGTTTATTAATTTTCAAATTTTGTTTATTGTTTATTTCAAAATGTTTTTGTCTCGCAAGAAACCAAAGGAAAAATATCCAAATTGGGAAAGTTACTACATTAGGAAATAAGAATTTTGACATCAAATATATATAAATTAATTAAAAAGGTATAAAATGGTAGAATTTTGATGGTTTAAAATGGTAGTATAGTGGAAATAATAGTGATAATGATGAATATGTGGTTATTTCTGTGAAATTCCCAATAAATTCACGCTTTAATCGACCATTTCCATCCAAATCCAACAGATTCTGATTACATAAACATCTCCGAAACAAGCATAAACTTTTTTTTTACTCCACAAAATAAATTTTTCACTTTTAAAATTAAAATTTAACGCAAATTTCCAGTAAAAACTCAGGATATTTTCGGGTATTTCAAGTATTTAAAAGTCAATTGATTGATTATTTACATTTTTTAAAGTTTATTTGTGTGTGTACCTGGTAAAAATTGGAGTCTGGTATATCATTTAACCGACGCACAGCGTTAATATTCACCCATTTCCCATTGCTATTTCCTTGTGATCCATATATATCTGTCAATGTTTAAATACCAGGAGATCCATATCTAATAAATATCTATGTGATATATCTATGTGATATATAAGACTGCATAGAGGGACTGGTTTTAACATTATATTTGTTGCATTGCTTTATATGGTTGATCATGAAATTCATATCAAATCCTTTAAAAATAACAGAAGATAGATCAACTCCATCAGAAGTTTATAATTGGAAAGTTTATATATTTGGTTTAATATTAGGCTTATCAAGTTTAGAAATTGGTTATGATTCGGGATTTATTGGTGGTTCAGTTGCACTTGATTCTTTTAGAAGAGATTTTAAACTTGATGAAATGTCATCATCAGATTCTTCATTTATTATAAGTAATATAGTTTCAGTTTTCCATGCTGGTTGTTTCTTTGGTTCAATTTTTTCATATCCATTAACTTTTAATTATGGTCGTAAAATTGGTCTTATTGGATCTTCAATTATAATGGCTATTGGAGCAATAATAATGTTGATTAGTTCAAAAGATCGTGGATTGGGACCAATGTATGTGGGTAGAACTTTAACTGGCCTGGGTGTTGGTGCTTCAACTTCAATTGTACCTGTTTATCTTGCAGAATGTTCACCAGGTCCTATAAGAGGTCGAATTTCTTCAATGTATGAAATTGGATGGAGAATTGGTGATACTGTTGGATTTTTCATTTCTTATGGTGTTGATTCTACTATAAGTTCATCTACAAAACAATGGTTTATACCTTTTAGTATACAATTAATACCTGCTGGGTTATATTTGATTGGAGTTTTTTACCTTAGGGAATCTCCACGTTGGTTATATAGTCAAGATAGACAATCTGAAGCTTTAAAAAATTTAACATGGATGAGAAATTTAGATTCAAATCATGAATATATTAAATGGGAAATATCAAATATTAAATCAGAATTAGAATATGAAAAAACTCATACAGGCCAAGGGTTTTTCGATCCCTTTTTGAAAATTTTAAAATCAAAAATCCTTTTAAGGAAATTATTTATAAGTTGTTCATTATATATTTTACAAAATTTATATGGTATTCAATCAATTAATTATTTTTCACCAGTTTTTTTCAAACAAATTGGTGTAAAGGGAACAAATTCTTCATTATTCTCCACAGGGATGTTTGGAATTGTTAAATTAATTGCAACATTATTTTGGTCTTTATTTATAGTGGAACAATATGGTAGAAGAACCACGGTATTAACATGTGCCCCAATTTGTGCAATTTGTTTTTATTATATAGGAGGATATGTTAAATTTAATTCTGGTGGTGCAAGTGCCAAAGCAGCATTAGGGATGTTATATATTTGGACTTTTTTCTTTATAGTTTCATTAAGTGGTACACCATATATTTTCAGTGCAGAGATTATTTCAGATACCACGATAAGAGGTGGTTTCCAGGTGATAAATTCAATGTTTTTGTGGTTAAGTGTTTTTTTAATGACAAGATTTACTACAAATATGATTGAAAGTATGTCATATGGAATCTTCTTTTTTTTTGCAACTTGGGCCGTTTTAACTATACCATTTGTTTATTTTTTAATGCCAGAAACAAGAGGTATTAGTTTAGAATATATGGATAGATTATTTCAATATAAGGCATGGAAGGCACATAAATTGGTGTTAAATGAGATTCAAGAAGAATCAAAATTGGATCAATTTGAAAGATTATATGAAATTGAAGCAAATGAAAAAAATAATTCAAATTATATTGAAACTAAAAGTGATGAGACAGCTAAATTATAGACTGGTTAATCCCAATTGCTATTTATTATCATACGCGCTGGTCGTTATTCATTCATTTCTTGTATATTATTTATTTATTATTTATTATTTATATCATCCCACGTAATTACCTAAAAAAAAACCAACTTCATTAATTCATTAAAAACATCATATCAACACCTTAAATTTTCCATTCCATCTTGTAATCTAATTTCTGATTTTAAATTAACTTGATCTCTACAAATTGGACAAGTTTTAGATTTAATTAACCACCATTTTAAACAATCATAATGGAAAACATGATTACAATTTAAAATTCTTAAATCCTCATAATCTTGATTAAAATCTTCAAAGCAAAAACATTGAGAATTCTTGTTATTTTGATCAAGGTGATCAATTTTTGTTAATGATTTATTAAATTTTTGAAAATTTAATTGATTTTTTTTATATGCAATTAATTTTTTTGTTTTTGTTAATAATAATCTAAGACATTGATAACTTGATGGAACTATATGTATTGGTATTGTATAATAATAATTGAAAAACCAAGTATAAATCAAAAACATTGAAAATTTTGATAAATTAATTGAAAAATCAAATATAATTTTTGATTTAAGGAAATTTGAATTAGATCTTTGATTTATATTTATTATTGAAGTGAATGAAATTATAAATTTTAATCCACTAAGTAGGATTAAAGGTGCAATATTTAATAATTCAAAACCAAATATAACTGAAATTGTATTAAATTCATTTGAAATATATTTATAAATTAATAATGTATCCACCAGGGCTAATAAAATTATCCCCAAACCTAATTTCAAACTATATTTATTAATCATATTACATCTATTTCCATCAAAATTATGATTATTTATGAATATTTGAACTCTTAATTCAATTAAATAATGGAAACATTTAGTTAAAACCACACATATGAAAATTCCAATATATTTTAAAAATTTCATTAAATTTAAATGTTCACCTTCAACATGTCTCAATACCAGCACACCCATTATAAATTCAAAAAGAGTATAATTGAAACGATCTTTAATAACTTGAATTTCATATTGATTTAAATTACCAAATATAATATAACGACAAATTTTGGGTATCAATAAAATGAAAATTAATAAAAAATTTAATAATCCAAAATTTATTAAAAATCTCCATGAAAACAATTGTGATATTGTTGTTACCAAATAAAATTTATTAACCAAGTCACCATTTGTAGAGAAAACCAATTCATTATAAACTTTTTTAAAAACTGATATACCTAATAATGCACCAATCTAATATATTCTTTGTTAGTATAACGCCACTGGAAAGCCCGTTTAAACCCTGGAAAAAGGGTGGGTACACAATACTCACTGTGCCATAGAGCCTGCGCATGGTCTTTAGCACTGAAAATGACTATAATGCTTCTTTTTTTTCTCTTTTGTTGTTTTGTTTCTTAAAAAGTTTGTTTGAAAGATTTCAAAATCTGTCATTTTTTTTTTTAATTTTAGTTTATACGATTGGTTGGGGCAGCATTAGAATGACTAAATTGTGAATTATTGTGCTTTAAAAATGCTTTAATTATATGTTTACTATATCCGTTTTATAGGTATAATTTCAAGGATTCTAATGGTGGTATTTTCATTAAAATATATTCAAAACTCACCAAGATAACAACACTTTTGTTCTATTTCACATGTTTTTTTCTGATATTTTGTTCGCGAATCCCGCTTAAATATCGGTTTTAACTAAAATGAACAAAACCGAAAAAGAACCAAAACAGACAAAATCATTGAAAACACTGGTAAAACACTGGTAAAAGGTCGGTAAAGAAGGTGGTAAAGGAGATCAGATGGAGGACAAGAGCGATTACAAGGTCCAGCAGAGCTCGTGCGTGGTGTGTCGGGAGAAGAAGCGCAAGTGTAACGGGAAAAATCCATGTTCTAATTGTATTAGATTTAAATCAAATTGTATTTATCAAACTTTGAGTGATAGAAGAAGAAGAAAATATCATACTGATTATGTGGATTTCCTTGAAGTGAAAGTTGATACGATAGAGAAATTCATTAAAGAATTTGTTAAAGATGATTTGGAATTAACAAATTTAATGTCTGAACGATTGAAAAATTTATCTCAATATGCTAATGATGAAGATATGACAATACCCAGAAAACCTTTGACAGATGATATGAAACTAGGTGATAAAGACCAAGGGATAATAGATGATTTGTTGACTGCTACGGATCAACTAAGGTTGAATGATGATGATTATGATTATGGTGCTTGTCCTGGTGGTGGTGGTAATGGTGGTGGTGGTATTGGTGGTAATGGTATTGAAGGTGCTGATGTAAAGCAATATACTACAGAATTACAAGATTTAATTGATCAAAATCTAGATCTAATATCATCTTCATCCACTCCAATATCAATAATTGGTTCCAATTTGGTATTTAGAGATCAATCATTTGCTCAACAATTAATTGATTTATTTGAAGAAAATTTCGCAATTCATTCAATGTCATTAAAATATATGATTCCAACTTTAAAATCAACAAATTATAATTATTCAACAAATCCAACATTCCATTTATTTCAAACTATTGTCTTTGGTATTGCTTCCATATATTCTGTTCATCAACAAAATGAATTTTTCACAAAATTATTTATTTTTAAAGCTCGTGATTCTTTAATGAATATAACAATGAAATCAAAAGTTGATATTTATATCGTATTAAGTCTTTATTTATTATCATGTTATGAATTAGGCCAAGGGAATTTACATCAATCTTATCTTTTCAATTCAATGGCATGTTCAAATACTCAGCATTTAGGTTTACATATCTCTTATGATGATAATGATGAGGAAAATTTAAATTCTGCACCAAAATCTTCACCTTTAAATCAATCAATTTTATGGTCTGTTTGTTTACAAGACCGAATTATAACTTCACTTGTTCAAGTTCCAAGTGTTATACATTTTAAAAGAATTATATCACCTTTTTATAAAATTGAAACTATAAATACAATGGATTTTCATATTGCTGAACTTTGTTTTGGTTATCTTTCAAGATTATGGTATATTTATGATCGTTTTACTGATCAAATATTTTCCATAAATTTTGATATTGGTGATACAAGTAATAAAGAAAAAGTTTTACTTATGGCTTTGAAAACTTTAAAAGAATTATTAAATTCTTTACCAATTCAATTAAGATTAAATTCATTAAATTTTGATAACAATAATCAAATTGATATAAATAATCAAAATTTATTTATATTAATATTCAATATTAATTATCAAGTTGCTGTGTTACAATTAAATAAAATTTTCATTAAAGATATTCCTCATATGACAAGAAAATCTACAGTGGAAGCTTCCATAAAAGCTGGTAATTTAATTTCAATTTTAAATAAATATTTGGATTTAAATTTTTTCACAATTGATAAATTGCCATATAACTTAGATAATTTAATTCATACAGTGGCTCTAGTATTATTATTTATATTAACTTCAAGTCAATCAAAAAATTTATTAAAATTGAAAAAAAATATAAATATTTTTGGTTTATATGAAAGTTGTTTATCAATTTTAAAAAAAAAATTCATCAAATTGGCCAAGTTCATCAATTAGATTAAATAATTTATCAAAATTATCAAATAAATATAATTTAGAACATAATCATGATGAAAATGATTCAACTACTACAACTACAACTTCATCTCCATTAGGTAAATCACTTAAGGTAATATTAGAAGAAATCAATAATGATAATAATTATCCATTTGAACAAGAACAAACTCCACAATTACCAGAAACAAATTTTTTAAATCAAGATTTAATATTCAATTCATTTTCATCACAAGAACCAACATTACAACAAGTTAATGAATTTCAATTATTTGATGAACAATTCCCCATGTATGGATTAAATCCTTTTGAAAAAAATTCATTACAACAAGAACAACAAGGACAACAAATTAATCAATCATTTATACCAAATTTTTTCCAAAATTTTATACCACCAAGTCCACAACCTCCAACTTATTTTAAACAACAAATACCACAAATACCATCACAAATACCATCACAAATACAACCACAAACAGCCCTACAACAATTTGAATTACATTACCAATTCAATGGATTTGAACAACCTACTCAACAAGAAAAGGAAAGAAGATATACAAATAGTTCAAATGATATACCACCATTATCTGAAGAGTTTTATTAAGCAATAAATTATTCATTAATCATTATAAATGTATAACAAATGGACCAATATTCACATATCTGCTTTAAATTGATTATAAAAATTATCAGCATGAATAGTAGAATCTTCATTAACATAACCATAATCAAATGATTGATCAATATGATTATTATAAGAATTTTCCACAATAATTAAAGCATCATTTAATTGTGGTATATTTAAATTCCATCTTTTAGACAATTCATACAAAACTTGAATATCTTTAAATCCACGTCTCCAAATCTTACCAAATTTTAATAATGAATCAATATAAATTGATATTCTTGATAATGATTTTGATTTTAATGATAAATCTTTATTTGATAATAAAAATAAATCAAATGTTGCACATGTTAAAATTAAATATGATAAAAAATATGGATAATTATATTCATTTGATTCTAATAAAGTTAATCTTTTAATTATTGATGATGCAATTTCACAATGTTCTAAAGTTATTGTTATAACTTTTAATGGAATTTGATTTAAATATGCACGATGTAATAATAAATAACTAATTGAATATGATAAATGTAAAATTAAAATTCTTGAATCCATTGTATCTTCATTCATTTCTAAAACTTTTGGAAATGATTTTTTCAATGATTCAAGTGAATCAATTCCTTGGTTCATTAAAACTGATTTATGAGAATTATGTAAAAATTCAGCTTTAAATGAATAAATTTGTCCAATTGATCGATCATGAATATACCATAATTGTGTATGATAAGTAAAACTTAATTCCGCAATATAACTTGGACTTGATTTATCCATTGTCTTGGGGGTATAAAATGGTGTTTTGATTCTAAAATATTGTATACGAACACCACGACCTAATACACTTGTTATAATACGATCTTGTAATATAACTGACCAAAAAAGTGCACATTTAACTGGTGATAATGATACTAAAGCTTGTGATTCTTCGGGAGTTGTTGCAGATGGATCTTTTAAATGAAGTCTTAAGAATTGTGTAAATGAAGAACTCATTGCATTTAATACCCAAGAATTTGAATCTAATGACATACCTAATTCAAAACATGATAAAATTAATAAACCTTGTAAAACATAATCGTTAATATTTCTTGTAGCTTTTAAACAAAGCATTTCAGCTTCTTGTAAAAAAATAAATGAAAGATCTTTATGTGATGTAAATAATGAACTATATGTAAAAATTGCACATTGTAAAAATTGTTTTGATACATCATTTGAAGGATATTCCCATTCAATAACTTCATCTAAATTTAACCATGAAGTATAAAAAAATTGTGCAAAACTTTTTTTAAAAATTTCAATTAATTTTGTTTTAAATTCTAAACTTATTTGAACAAAATCAAGATTTGTATTTGGTCTTAAATTTTTAAACTCATAATCTTCATTTTCAATAACTTGTTGTCTACCACTTATTGGTCCATAAAATTCAGTATAACCATTTTCATCTTGTCTAACTTTCCAAGTTGTAGAAACTAATTCATCAATAGCATTTTCATCAGCAAGATCTCTTAACAATAATTCAGCACTTGAATTATTATTACTTGAATTTGTATTGGGCTTTCTAGGTATTGAATTTAATTTTTCTAAAAAATCAGTATTAATTAATTGAGCTTTTTCTGGATCACTTCTAATTAATTCATTAGCAAATTGTTGCATCAAATCACATTTCAATTCCAAATAATCAACATAAGTTGAATCATATTTCCATTTTCTTCTATCTTTATCAGTTGGATATTCACAATCTCCATTTTTATTATATTTACGACATATTCCACATGGTGAATCCCCATCACATTTCCGTTTTCTTTTCCTGCAAAAAGTACAAGCAATAGATCTTGATTCTGGAGCCATTATAATTTGTATCGTCACCTCTCTCTTTATAGTTTTCGAACTGGTCTTATTTAAGTCTTTAATTGATGAGTATAAAACAATTTTTTGCCTATATGCGCTTTTTCGGGTATAATTGAAATCTCATATTCGCGGTGATCCAAATATGGGAGATTTATTTCCAATTTATTTAATAATAGACAAAGAGATTTTGAGTAATAAATTACATAGTTCTATTACTTGAAGTTCTAGGATTCTGATCCGATTATTTTCAAGTTTATACCACCTATGAATGTCTATAAAATTTATTTCCCGCTAAAAAACCAGGACCCTGTTCTGCCAAAATGCAACGGTCAAAACATATCCATATCTACAAAAATTATTGATATAAGTATAAATAATTGATAATTTGATTGATTCTATAAATTAATTCTATAAAGTGCAATAATATTGTTCATGTTTATGATGCTGGTACAAAAGTGTGTTTTTGTCTTCTTAAATTTGTATAATTATCAACAAATTCATCTAATGGTGTATTAGAATATTTTGCTGGGAACATATCTTCATTAAATTCAATTTCTTTAAATTCTTTTTTAGTTCCTTTCTTAATTTTCATTGTTTTAGATTCAGTGATATTTGTATGATTATCTTTATTTTCAACATCATAAAAAATTTTAGCCCAAGGATATTTATCATATAATTTAGATTCATTGGAAAAAGGACCTAATTTTAAAAGTTTTTGGAAGAACCCACCAATCCAATATGAACTAATTTTACCAAAATATGGACCTTTAGGTTCCAAATCTTCATCAAATTCATTTCTATTTCCATTCCCATTCTCATCTTCAATTTCAAATTCAACTTTATGATTATTATTATATATTGCATCATCAATTGGTGGACCAATAATTTCACCTTTCCAATTAATTGGACAAATTGGGAAACTCTTATCATATTTTAAAGCTTCATATAATTTTAATTCATCTTTAGAAATTTCCACTTTATCTTCCTCCATACCGAAAAATGGTGATGCTTTTGTTAATTTTGGAACTGAAGATAAATTTAATGGTGTATCATTTGATGATAAAGGTTCTCCCAACATTAAAGGTATAACATCAACAAAAGGTTTATGAGGTTGTAAATAAGAAATTCTTGGATCACAAGCATCTTCATAATATTCATCATCAAAATGGAAATCAAGATAATTTTCCTCTTCAATTTTTTGTAAATTTTTATTATCATCATTATTATTTGTCATAAATATTGATTTACTTGATTTTGGTTTAATTGTTTCATTTGCATCATCATCATCATCATCATTATCTTGTTCAATTTCTTCATGATCTTTATTATAAATTTCTAATAAAGATAAATTATCAATATTTGATGATGTTGAAGGTGATGTTGGTGATGATGACTTTTTAACAAAATTTGTATTTGATGTATTAATTTTAATTGAATCTAATGGAGATTTTGGTAATGGAATATTATTTAAATTATTATTTGATGATTTTAATGAATTTTGATTCAATACACCAACTTCAAATCTATTTGATTCATGTTTTAATGCATTTTTAACAGATAATCTTATATCATTTGAATTCATTGAATTAATAACAGGAACTCTTGTTTGAGAAATTTTTGGAGTTTGATAATTAAATTTTGGAATTGAATGTTTTTGTTGTTGTTGTTGTTGATGATGATGATTTTTGGAATTTTTAATGATTGAATTTGTATAGTTTTTCAAAGTTGGTTTAACATGATGATTTGGAAATGAATTTGATTCATTATTGTTGAGATGTCTTGGATCAACATTTTCAGTATCTTGAAATTGTGACATGATTTGATAAAAATGATTCTTTTGAATTGAGGTAGTTTAATTAACACCAACCAACAGTTTTTGAAAGTATCTTGTCTTGAATATCAAGTTCTAAGATTTCTAATTTTTTTTTTCTTTTCATTTTTGTGGTTTTGTGGAAATATATCAACATTACACAAAACCTTAAAAAACCCCATAACAAACAGTTCAAACATTTGTAAAAAAACGTGATTAGCCATAAAATTAAAAGACAAAAGTAATCGATAAACGATTTCAATCATTAACCAGTGAAACAACAGCAAAAATAAAGGTAATCACAACCACAAACACAACACATAAAAAAGAAGTCGACAAAACACTTTCTCCCATAGCGACAATAATAGACAAGCCCTGATTCTCAAGCTCTTTTAGATAAGAAATCACCACTATTCATCAAGTTCCCAACATATTCTTGTAAATATTTGTTATCATGATCCAATTTATCACATCTTTTTTTAGTTTGAACAGTTCTTCTAATTAAAGCTTCCATCTTGTCACGTAATTGTAAAGATTCTTCAAATTTTGAAAGTGGTTGATCATCATCTATAGCTTCATCTGTATCATTAACTTCTTTACTAGTAGATTCTTCAATTTCAACTTCTTTTGGAATTCCCACTTCAACTTCTTGTGATGATGGAGTTTCAATGTTGCTTTGTTGTTCATTAACAATAGAATTCTCAGCGGTTGATTCGTTTGTTTTGGAAACAGGTGATTCTGGAGTGGCTGACATATTGTTGATAAAATTTGACTCGATGTTATATCTTTATAAGTTCAATTGAGTGTGATTTCAATGAGATTTGTTTTGATTTAAATGGCAAATGGCTTTAAAGTTGATGTTTTTGAATCAAATCAAAAGCGTTTTTCTATATCTTCGCGACGTCGACTAAATAAAACGAGTATTACATAATCAAAATGAATCATAAAAATCAATAAAAACATAAGTAAGAGAGATAAATTCTGGTATAATTCACAATAGATATTTTAATATCAGCTTAGTGGATTATATGAAATTAATTTGAAGATATATAAGGCAAAATTGCACGAAAGCGCAAATATCCGTAAACCTCCCAGCGTAATCTCTCAGCCAATTTCTTGTCTCAACAAAAGGAGGGTTGGCCGAGTGGTCTAAGGCGGTAGACTTAAGATCTACTGGACGATTGTCCGCGCGAGTTCGAACCTCGCATCCTTCATTATTATTTTTTTTGCTAAAATTCCGGGCGATTTTTTTAACTTTCAATATATATCATCAATTTAATTGAAGCATTACTATATTATAGTTGATTAAATCATTGTTTCATAGTTTACTTAAATTTTTTTTTTTTTCATTCAACAATTTATATTATGTTTAATCTATTATACAATATATTCCCGAATTTAACTATAATTATTAATTATCACCAGCAGCTTTAACTAAATCAAAGAATTTTTCTTTCGATATTTCAGATATAAGTTTTTCCTTTTGATCTTGACCTAAAACTTTAGTTTTATTAACTTCATTTGAAGTTCTATTTTGAGTTGACATAACAACATTAAATAATCTAACAACACCTCTTTGAGCAATTTTTCTTAATTTTTTTTCATGATCAATAACTTGTCTTGCAGTAGAATCTTCTTTTGGTAACAAATCTTTAATTCTATCTTGATCATAAACTCTTTTCTTTTCAGCTAATAATTCTCTACGAGCTTTTGCTTCTAATTTTTCATCATCAGCTTTTTTTAAAATTTGTTTAGATCTTGCAAAAATTGGATCTTTACGATCATAAGCTTTTAATTTTGATCCTAAAATTGCATTAACTGCAGTAGCAAATGATTCTGAACCATCATCTTTATTTTTTTTTCTTTTTTTCAATTTTGGTAAATTTTCATCACCATCATCATCATCACTATCATCTTCATCTTCACTTTCACTTTCACTTTGTTCTTCATCTTCACTACTGACTTCTTGGTCAAGGTCTAATTCATCATCACCATCTTCTGAACTTATACTGGCATTATCATCATCACTTTCTTCTGATTCTGATTTTAATTCTTGTTCTTCATATAATGTTAGTATATATTCCACTTTAAAAACCTCCATTTCACTCACTTTTCACTGTTTTTTGTTTCTTGTTTTTGGATTCTACTAGTTTAGCGTTCTTAGCAGGCAACTGTACCGATACTCTCTTCTTTGACATCGTTATTAACTCTAGTTTCCCTTATATTTCTAATAAAATCCATATTAAAATTATTATGGCACTTTAAATTTTTTTTTGAAATGAGATAATGGAAAAGTCGGAATTTACTTAATCAGTCCGGAAAGTCGGAACTGGTATATTTGTTTACATTTTTGAAACAATAAGTAAACAAATTTTTGATAACATTTGGTGATATTTTGATACTTGTAAAGGTATAAAAAGCTGGTGTTGTTTGGTTAAGTTTGTTGAAGTGCTGTTTTGTTAGAAGTTAGTTGTCATATTGCTGATCATGAGTGAAGAAACTAAGGAAAACGAAAAAGTATTAGGCTCGCCAGAGATTGTGGTATCGAAAAGAACAAGTTTAGGTGAAGTTTCCAATAATAGGCTAAGTATGCCAGGGAAAAGAGTATCTAGTATACCAAAACCATCCAATATCCCAAGACCAAATACTACTCCTTCAAAAGAAACATCATATATTACACAAGATGGGTTTAGATCACCTATAAGTCCTTCAAGATCTAAACAAAATACTCCACCATCTGGATTAAGAAGATTATCAGATTCTGGTGTCCCAACTTTAGAAAGAGGTAAAAATTTAATTAAACCTACAAGTTTGAATTTTGGTCAAGCTGGTAAAAATTTAATAAATCCATATTCTAAAAAAGAATTGGAAAATTTAAAAAATCAAATTGATATAAAAGAAAAAGAATTCAGTGATTTAACGAACAAATTAATGTCTTTGAAAACATCCAAACAACAAATTGAAGTTGATAATGAAACTCTAGAAGATAAATTATCAACTTTAAACAAAACTTTAAGGATTAAAAATAATGAATTTGAGAATTTGACTTTGAAAAAGCAAGAAGTTGCACAAGATATGAAAAGAAGTTATGAGTTAAAATCAAAACAAGAAAAAGTTGATAATGAAGAATCTATTTATGAAATTGAAAAACAATACAAAATGGAAGTTGATAGAATATTAAAATCAAAAGTCTCACAAATCCAAAATGATAAAAATCAAGCATATGAAAAAATTTCAAATTTAAATAAATCTATACAAAATAATGAATTAAATTTCCAAAATGATTTAACAACTTTAAGAAAACAATATGATGATGAAAAATTAAAGTTAAAAGAATTTATGGAAGAAACCAAAAAAAGTTTAGAAAAAGATTGTAAAGAATTAGATCAAAGACATAATCAATTAAAAGATGAAATTGAATCAATTGAAACTCAATTTGAATTGGAAAATAAATTATTGGAAGAATCTAATAATGAATATGAAGAAAGTTTAAAAACAACATCTAAAGCTGAAATTAAATTTCAAAATTTACAAGATCAAATTAATTCATTACAACAATCATTTTTAGATAAAAATACCCAAATTAAAAATTTAAAAAAAGATACAGAATGGAAAATTCAACAAAAGACAAAATTTGATGAACAATTAATTAAAGAAGAAGTCATTAGAAGGAAATTACATGATAAAATGCAAGAATTAAAAGGTAATATTAGAGTTTTCTGTCGTATTAGACCTCCAATTAAATCAGAAATTGATGATGTTGTGGAAATTCAAGTCCCAGATAATGATGAAGAAGAACAAGAAATTTCAATTAAAGATTCAAAACCAACAAGTAGTAGTAATAATGGTTTCAATAATACACCAATGATTCCCAAGAAATATAATTTTAAATTTGATAGAATTTTCACAATGGATTCAAATAATCAAGAAATTTTTGAAGAAATTTCACAATTAATTCAAAGTGCATTAGATGGATTTAATGTTTGTATATTTGCATATGGACAAACAGGATCAGGTAAAACTTTTACAATGTCAAATGAAAATGATGGTATGATTCCACTTGCAGTTGATCAAATTTTTAATACTTCAAAAAATTTAAAAAATTATGGTTGGGATTTTAAATTTTTTGGTGAATTCTTGGAAATTTATAATGAGAATATAAATGATTTATTAGGGAATCCAAATAATATTGATAAATCTAAATTAGAAATAAGGCATGATACCCAAAATCAAAAAACTATAGTTACAGATTTAACATCAATTGAATTGAAAACCCCGGAAATGGTTAAAGAAGTTTTAAATAAAGCTTTAAAAAATCGTTCAATTGCATCAACAAAAGCAAATGAGAGATCTTCAAGATCTCATAGTGTTTTCACAATAAATATTAAAGGTTTTAACAAAGAAACAAATGAACATATTGAAGGTAAATTAAATTTAATTGATTTAGCAGGTTCAGAAAGATTATCACATTCACAAGCAAGTGGTGATAGATTAAAAGAAACCCAAGCAATTAATAAAAGTTTAAGTTGTCTTGGAGATGTTATTTATGCATTGGGCCAAGAATCAGCAAAACATATCCCATTTAGAAATTCAAAATTAACTTATTTATTACAATATTCATTAATTGGAAATTCTAAAACATTAATGTTTGTTAATATTTCACCTTTCAATAAATTTTTCAATGAAACTTTAAATTCATTAAGATTTGCAACAAAAGTTAATAGTACGAAATTAGGAATTTTGAAAAAAAATAGCAGTTCATAAGTGGTGGTGTGTGTACGTGCTTAACTATATGATGTTATATGAATTATGAAACGAATATAATGTAGGTCAATAGTTATAGTTCTTAACTATATGAGCTCAACATATTTAAGTTATCACAACCAACATCAGTTCTAGTAATCAGAAGAATATGTTTAAGATAACACAAAGCTGAAGTCTATATTATATACTCAAAATATATTACGTAATCATTATATAATCCCAGTATAAATGTAAACTAAATTACACTTATATGACTTTGAATAAGCTAGTATTTCAAAGAGAAGTAAAAGCTGTACTATGGAATGTATTAAGATACTTATCATACAAGTATGTGAAGTGGCGGCTAGTCCTTATTCAAACTTCTCAGTATAAAAGTGCAGCTGTTTTCATCATTTTTGAGTCTTTTCTATGAGTATGCTGGTATGCACAGATGAGTTCTTTAAAGAGTGTTTTTACTTTGAACAATGCTCGATTAATATAAGCTCATGTTTTTCAATAAACTCTTCAAAGAAAAGTTTATAACGAATCAAGCTCCCAATTATTTCTAAACTTTCTTTTCCCCTTTCTTTCGTCTCATCATCATATTTAACATAGAAATTTTTATCATTAAATCAACAACTATATACAACAATATGAGCCATTCAGCTTACTATAACTACATGCTTAGCAAACAATCTAGCACTGCTTCAAGCAGTATACAACCAGCTACCAATAACATTAATGATCATACTCAAGAATCATCATCAAATGTTAGAACCATTCCATATACTTATGAATTACTTGATTCACCAACATCATTCATTAATGATTATGAATTTGAATCAGTTAATGAAACTAGACCATTACAAATTAGTCCATCAGTTTCTAATCATTCTTCATCAGATTTTGAAATTGGGAACTTTGGATATAATCAAATTCCTCAAATTCAACCAAATGATTGTTTACAACCTGAATTTCCACCATTACCAATACCTGATTTATTTGATCAATCTCAACAAATCCTTCAATTTGTGTCAGCTCAAACAATTCATGATTATGAATTTCCACCATTACCAATTCCTGATTTATTTGATCAACCTCAACAAATATTTCAAATTGAGTCTCAAGAAATTGAGTATGAATTTCCACCATTACCAATTCCAGACCTTGACATAGCTCTTCAAGTTATTCAACTTGAACAAACATATGAACAGTTCATGGAAGAAAATAATCTTGAGTATTTAAATCTAGAGAGTTATTATGGTTCCGATAATATTGAATTTCTTATGTATTAGATATTAATTCTTCATGGTTCTTGGTATATCGAATTATATAAAGCAGCTGGTTATAAATTTTCGATTTTGGATTTGATTTTTTTCTTATTATTGATGTGCTGTTCTAGGGTATAGGTGTTTAAAATTTGATTTAATAAATTATGTTTTTAAGCTTTTATGTAGTTCAAACACGTCAAATTAAAATATAATATAAATGTAAAATTGTATATTTTATATAATAGATGTAATGATATAATAAATAAATAAATAAAGTGTATGAATAAATATAATTATTAAATAAATAAATAATGTATGATACAATATAATGTATGATGTCTTTTCCTGTTATATCTTAATAACCTTCATGAATAAATTCTTTTGTTACAAAGACATTGGACTCATTAACCTCATTTTTATCCTGTTTAACTTCACCTTCAATCTTCAACCTTGGTTCCAATTCATTCCAAATCCCTTTATAATTCTCCCTTGCCCATCTTTCCAAAACCAATCTTTTTTCATCATTTTTAGTCCATTTATATAAAGTTTCAATTAAATCCCCCCTAACTTCTAAATCATAATCCTTCATCCCCTCCACTACCCTTAAAGCATCATCATACCTCTCATAATAACAATGAGCAACAACAAATTGTTTATAATTATCTTCATCCGGTAATAAACCAAATTCATAAATCCCATTCCAAAATTGTTGAACATGTCCTAAGCTAATATAAGTATTTAATTTAATCATAATTGAAACCGTTTCATTATTTAATTCACCATTTGATATTATAGAATCAAAAATTTCATTTGTTTTAAAAAAATCCTGGAGTGAACAATATGCACCAAGTAAAGAATTCATTATTTTAATGTTTTGTTGTAAGGAAAGGTCTAATTTCATCAACATGTGAAGATCTTTAATACCATCTTCATATAAATGATCACCAAATGACTGGAACAAGTATGAATATATTTCAGGTGATGGTGGTTGGATGGCACCAGTTTTTTTATGAATTTTTTTCATAATTTGAAAAA